TAATTTGAAATTAAAATTTAAAATAATAAAAAATTATAAAATTGCAAAATTTATAATTTATTAAATTTAAAATATAATAAAAAAATAATATATACACTAGGTAGAAATAAATATATAATTTTTAAAAAAACAATTTATTTTTTTTAATAAAATACTAGTATTGAATTAGCTAACTATTATTAGCAATACATACTTTTCAATTAATTTTAAATAAGTTTCTTATGGATTTTTTTTATTAAATTGTATTTCTAAATCTGTAAGATTTTAGAAAGATCTAAACAATTATACAACAAATGATTAAGATGATCTTAAAGATGCTTAATAGGATTTAAATTTGAAAATTAAATAAGCTAAGTAATTAACATTTTAATTTTTTTAGCAATCTATGTTTTAACATCATTAATTATATGAATAGATACATTATTATGCTAAAATTTATAAAATTGATTATGTAACTTTAAATTAATAAATAGTAATAGGTTATTATCTAAAATTTTTATATTATGACAGTTAATTATAAATAAGAAGCAGAACTTTCATTTAGTAACAAAATCTATTGATTTTATTATATTCAATTTTAAATAAATATAAAAATCTGACTGTATAAACTTATTTTCACCTAGTATATATACTGAGACTTTTAATTCACTTGAGTAATATTATTGCAAATTTTACAAATTTAATCTTTTTCAAATTTGCTATTATATATTATTTAATTAGTTATTTCTATAATAATTTATTTTTTTAAATTAAAAGTAATATAAGCAAAGTAATAAAATTTAAAAGGATTTATATAAAAAAGCTATTTTATGAGAAATTCATTTTTTTACAAATATAAATCCTATTTAATCCTTTTGAATTAGATTTTTTCATTAGAATTTTTATAAAATCCTGAAGCTCAAAATCCCGATGATATATTATTTTAATATCATAAAATCTAAAATTTCAAAATTTCAGAATACAGTAATTCAAAATGCTATAATCCTAAAATTTTATAATCCTAAAATTTCAAAATTAAAAATAATGAAATTAATAAAATAAAAATTATCTATTTTTGAAGTATCTAATTTACAATAGAATGTTAAGTTATATTAATATATTTCAATTATTGATATAAAATTAGTAATGTTAGTTTTTAAACTAAACAAAAAAATTTTAAGTTTCTGATTTGACTATATGAGTAAAAAGATTATTTTACCTTTGATTATTATTAAAAATCTAAAATTTTAAATAATTAATAATATAATTAGTGACTTAGTGGTAAATGTATAATTTTTTATTCACTAACTAGAATTAGAAGATAAATTCAATAAGATTAATAAGAATAATAGGATTTGGAGGCTGATATTTCCTTCTAATATATAGATCTAATAATCAATTAATAAAAACATTAATTTTATATCTATAAACAATTTATTTTATCTATAAAAAATAAACATAATTCTAATTATAACTGTTAGGATTTTATAATTCGAATTGATATTTGAATATTTGATTTGATTCAATCAAATTCAAATCAAGTATTCAAATAATTAATTTGATTTGAATCAATAGTAAAGCTATTTCTAAAGCTTCAGGAGTAGCTCTTACTAAGAAAACCATAGCAAAAAGAGCATCTGTAGCTTCAGAAATGCCTTTTTTACTAAGAAAACTATAGCAAAAAGTGCCTTCACATATCTTTTTTACTAAGAAATCATAGTAAAAAATGCTTTCGCAGCTTCAGAAATGCCTTTTTTACTAAGAAAACCATAGTAAAAAAGCATTTTCATTGCTTCAGAAATGTCTTTTTACTAAGAAAAATATAGTAAAAACACCTTTGCAGCTTTGAAGACGTTATTTTACTAAAAAAACATAGTAAAAAACGCCTCTGTAACTTTGGAGACGCTATTTTACCAAGAAAACATAGTAAAAAATGCCTTTGCGACTTCAGAGACGTTTTTACTAAAAAACCTAGTAAAAAACATATTTGTAACTTCAGAAACATTTTTTACTAATAAAATTATTGCGAAGTCAAAATAGCGATTATTACTAAGTTTTTTTGGTAAAACTGAAGCCACGATAGCAGTTATTACTAAGTTTTTTTAGTAAACTAAAGCTACGATGGTGGTTATTACTAAGTTTTCTTAGTAAAACTGAAACTGTAGAGTTATTTTACTAAGTTTAATAATAAAAATTCACTTGTTACTAAACTTACTTTATAAAAGCTATCTTTGAAATTTTTTAGTGTAATTACTAATAATTTTCTTAATTAAACTTTAGAATAACTTTATTTTAATATATCATTATAAAAATTAAAAAAATTTATATTCAATTCAATTTAATTCAATTCTATCAAATATTTAATTTGATTTGATTTGATTTGACAAATATTTGATTCAATTTGATTCAATTTGATCAAATTTAAATTGATTTAAATTGATTCAATCAAATTTTTGAGTTCAATTTGATTTGATTTGATTTGATTTAATTTTGAGAAACCCTAATAACTATCTTAAAGTTTAATTTTATTTATATCAATTTATTTAGTTTATTACAAAATCAAATTTTATTAATATATTAAATAATTATATTATAATAAAGTGCTTATGAAGAGTCAATTATATGCAAAAATAAAATAAGCAAAACTTTAATCTCAAAAATCAACTTCACTAAATTTACAAAATTAAAATAATTTGAATTAATTTAAAGATAAATTTTGTTTAATAAGTGAAATGAAAAGGAAAATGATAAGGATTTTCAGAAAATATAAAGTTAATTTAAAGAAAAATAATTCAACATTAGATTAATTTAATAGGTGAAGAAGAAATAAGTGTTGATATTGATCAAGATGATTATAATATAATTTTTAATATTCTAATATCTAAAGGTATATATCTAGCATATAGAAGGTTTGCTAAGAAAATAGGGTTCTAAGCATTTTTTATTAAAATTTTAATTTTTATTATATTTTAATCTAATATTATCAAAAATTAAAATGCAATAAAAATTAAAATTTTAATAAAAAATTCTCAAAATACTATTTTTCTAGCAAACCTCCTATATTATTAAAATTTAAAATGACATTTATCAGAATTATTTTCAGAAGGATTAGAAATTTCAGATTTTATTAATAATAATAATTAATAATATTTATATATATAATAAATCAATATATATTAATTTGGTTATATTTTAATATATAATAAATCATTTTTTTAATAAAAATTTTTGTTTCAAAATTTTAGAATAAATGTAAATCATATGATTTAATCAAATAAACTCCAATAATATATTAATAATTTATTGAAGAAAACCAATAAACCACTTGCAAATGATAAATAAATTTAATAATTTATTTAGTGATTCAGTTATTGGTCTAACCTTAAACTAAACTACCTAATAACATTCAAGTGATCAATCAAGAAACTTGAAACAAAATTAGTGTTTTGCTAAAGAAGTTATGATCAAGATAAAAGAGAAAAATGTTTTTTATAATTTAGCATTAAAATCAAAACATTTAAAAAAAATAGTAAGAATATGAAAAAAAGAGGGTAAAATGGATCCAATTGATTATTTAAAATTTGAGTTTGTAATTTTATTGCTTTTTAATATTTAATAACTAAAGAATAAAAAAAAAGATAGACAGTTAAATTAATCAACTTGTAGGTAGTATAAAATATAAACAAATAGTAGAAAAACTAAGAAATCCTAAAGAATATGTCAAAATTTATGATAAAAAAATAAAAATAAAGAAATGATTGGATTCAAAAGAAGTCTAATTGAAACTAAACAACAATTAGAAAGAGAAAGATAGCAATTTAACTAGAATATCTTCTCTATGATTGATTTTAGCAATCTTGATAACAGCAGGAATAACATTGTTCTGGATGCTAAGAAAGAAAAAAATGAAAAAAATACATTAATCTGTAAACACACCTTTTTTATTAGTTTTATTCTTCTAATTTCCTTTTTTTTCTAGGTCTTCATGGCTTTGTGTTGATACTCTTTTATTAGTTATGACTTTCCTTTCTTCTTTATATAGGGGTAATTCTATGTATCACTTATATATAGGACATTATTAATCACATTACATTTGTGGCGAATCCTGAAATTCTTGGTAATACTAATGTTTGTTTTGTTATGCTCCATATAAGAAATCCTTTTGTAAAAAATTATAATAATTTTAATCAAAAAAAATTTTTTTTTATATAAAAAAATAGAGATTAGATTCGTTACAGATTTCGTTAAACGAATTCCGTTTAACGATTCGTTATCAAAAATTTTGAAAATTTTTAAAAGTTGTGATGAGCTAAAATAATTATATATTATCAATAAACGATATTTTAATATTATATTAAATTTCTACTTATAGAATGTTGTAAATTAATAGTTCAATGGATTTTTATACTTAGCATGTGTGAATGTATAAAAACAGATTTAATGATAGGTATTTTTTTTTTTTTTTTTTAAATAATAAAGAGTTCATTCGCCAAATTATTTGAATATGGAAGTTTAAAATACAATTCAATTACTCTTAATATTAATTCAATTAGTCCAAATTAAGAGGCTTGTGTTATTGCATGAATGCATGAAGTGTCAAATGTCAAATTACTATTATCAGATATGAGAACAATGATTGTGTTTTGTGGTTCTACTAATATATACAATGTATTTTATAATATTACAATACTTTTTATTTTATTTTTAAAACCAGTTAAATAAAAATCACAATTTAATCTTTTTTAAGAGAAAATTCTAACATTCATTCGCTTCATCTATTCGTATATTCTCTTTAATCACAACTAATTCTATTCTTTATATGTGATAAGGGATGGCGAAGAACACAAAATGAAAAGAGAATGGTCTAATAAAAAACTTTTTAATTTTATCATAGACTTCGTTAATCTTTGTTAAATTGTCAACTGAAATCTTCTACCCTATATAACTACTTTATAAAGAATTTTTTTTTTAAACAAAAATTAAAAGTACTAACTCCTTTTATTCTTATTTTGCACAATTGCCTAATCCAAAGACGTTTTAGGAGCGATTGGTGGAAGATTATGTAAATTCCAACACGTGGGTGATGTGAATTGATGATGTTTACTGTTGGATTGACGCGACACAATAGGTGCAATAGGAACCAGTAGTGGTGGTGCTGGCGCTATATTTCTTTTTAAATGAGAATTGATTTCTTGTGATGATGATATTAACTGCGAAGAAGGACTATAGGAGGGAGAATAGTCGTTCTTTGAAATTCCAATATAGAATTATTAGTTGATTTTATATTATTACTTGCTATTCTATAATAGTATTTTAAAGAAAATTGTATAATAACCTACAGTAACATCTTGTTCACTTCCGATATTGGTTGCTGGATCGATAATATTCTCGACACCATAGTTGTCATTGTTAGGTTGTATATTATTGCTGATATTTATAGGGACTTGAATATTTAATTTCTTCAAATTTCTCCCATCATTATCATCATCATCGTTGATTAGTCTTTTTCTTACATTTTTTTCTGAAGGATAAGGTGGAACGGAAGATCTTTTTTCTTTTGAAATTGGTCTCCGATTCTTTTTATATACACCGTCGGTAAATTGAGATTCACATTCCGGATCAATGGTCCACCATGCCCCCTTACCAGGTTCATGATCATTACGTGGAACTTTAACAAAAGCCGAGTTTAATGATAAATTATGACGAATGGAATTCTAATAATAAAAAAGAATTTAACGTTGAGTTTAACCTAATAAAAAGAACAATCGTAATAAGTTACAGACCTGCCATCCATTTTGAGCAATTTTATAATAAGGATATTGTGTTGTTATCCAATTATATATGGCATTAAGTGTCATTCTTTTAGAAGGAGCTGATTGTATTGCTTGAGCAATTAAAGATGCATATGAAAAAGGAGGTTTAATTTGTCTGGATTGATATTTTGATATATCAATCTTTTCACCTACAACGGGACTTTGTTGCTCACTAGTATCTCCTTGAGTGGAAGACGAAGAAGAACCACTTCTTTGACTAGAATTTGATGAACCGATACCACTGTCTAATAAATTAACCTTAATATTAATATTAGCATAACCATGAGAGTATTCTTGACCGGCGGTGGTGGTATATCCATTTGAATAACTTTGGCCATATTCTACTAGAGAGTCTTTGGTTGCTGCTTCTTGATAAGTCGTATTACTAGTCATATGATACGTGTCATGTTCAGTAGCAGTGGACATACCATCTTCATTATCCGTCCTTGGGAGCAAAAATGAGAATACCACCTCGCCAATTTGAATCTTCGTTCTAATTTATAATTTTTATTTCAAACAAGTCGCGCATTAGCATAGCGAATGGTTTTTTAAGCACATCGTATTAAAACGTAAGAAATAGCCTATTGTAAAGAACCATTTTTTTGTCCGAAGGAACAATAACATTCGTAACGAGATAAATAGGTTGAAATATTACGCATGCAACCATCTATTACGCGCTTATGCACTTCGAAATTTATAATTTATTTAATTAACATAAAAAAAAATATGGAGAATAAAAAAATCACCTATTTTCTAGTGGTACTTTAAAACCTCTTTCACAGAATTGTTCATTAATATAAGCGCCATTCTTTCCAAAGATTTCCAATTCAAAACGTTGTTCTTGAAAATTATAATAAAGTCGCGCGTGTTGTCTTGATATTGCTTTAGTAGAACCAAGGTGTATATCAACTTGATCCGAACCACCTGCTTTACGTCCAAGTATTACTTGAAGTGTCTTTATATAATAGCAAAAATTATCTCCTTCAAGTTTAGCGAAAGCTTGTACTGTGTCATTCTCCATTTCCCTTTGCGTGCGAAATGTGTAAATGTTGAAATATTCGTTTTATTAGTATAGAATAATAATACAATAAATTCGACGCCACGGGAAAGTGATTTTCTTTATTATTATTATTATTATTATTTTATCTATTATATCAAAAAAAAATCAAAAAAAAAAAAATAAATAAATAAACCTGATCATGATGATGATTGAGTGGTGGATGTTAAACGAACTATTTTTGGTTGGGAAATGGGGAACTTTTAATTCTACTGCGGTAATGTATATACATAACGTTTTAAGTTATGGTAACTAAACATCGGGAATTCGGAAAAACGTCAAAAAAAGGTTCAAAAACATTACAACGAAAAAAAAAGTGTTCTTAAAGCAATATATTGATAGTAATTTAAGATTTCGTCAACTTATACATCGATAATAATAAATTTTCTAAAAAAAAAATCAGGAGAAAAAAGATATTCAAAGAGATTAACATTCATTATTTAGAAAGGGTTCTACCTATAGTATAAGTTTGCTTTATAAAAAAAAAAACCTTTTAATTCTGATGCATTAAAAGTATGGATTATCGATTAGTGGGGTAATATCACATGTATCTTACTTGTTTCCATTTAAACCAGTTTTTTTTTTGTGTTATTGTATGTGTATTAAAATTTAAAATTTGGAAGGTTGTTATTGTAATACAAATATATTTTATAGAACTTTAATAATTATATCGGATTGAGATTTTTAATATCATATTATTGTATTTAATTTTAATTATTTCATTTTTATATAATAAATATTATAAACTAATTTAACTAAAAATTTTGTTTTATATATTATTTTAGATTTAAAATATAATTAATATTATTTATAGTTAGATCCTTTTTGTATTTTTTTTTTTTAAAAAAAAAAATTTTTTATATATATATCAATTTTATTTTTATATTTTTATGTTACAGTTAATTTCATAATTCATGGACCATTAATAATTTTTTAGTCGCATTCAGTCACAATATTTTATAGTAATTTATTATAAAATATTTTCAGTCATATTCAGTCACATTTAGTCATAATTTTTTAGTAATCTAGAGCTATAATAAAATAATTATTATAATAAATCAGAATCTTATTTATTAAATTTAGAAAGTAACTTTAAGAATTAAGTACATATATATATATACATACTTATATACAAATTATTTTATAAATAAAAATTTATTTTTACTTTTATTATTATTTTATAACTTATTTATATAGTTTATAATCTATACAATTGTAATAATTACTAATATATCAAATATTAAATTTAATCAAATTTAAATTAAGTTTTAAATATTTAATTTAATTAAATAAATTAGTAAAAGCTATTTTTAGTAATGTCTTAAATAATTGCAAATACATTTTTATTAATATTTTTTTTAATAGAAAATGTTTTTAAAACTATAATTATATTTTTACTAATACATTTTTAATAAAATACTTCTTTAAGCTGCATATATATTTTTATTAAAAGTATATAAAATTAATTTATGTAATCTAATTTATACATTTATTTTTAAAAAATATTTTTAATTAATAAAATTTTGTTATTTATTTTAATTAAAATAATAATTAAACTATTATAAAATATATTAATATTGTCACCGGGAATAATCTTCTCTGATTACTTCACGTAATATATCTAAGTTCCTTGGCTGCGGTAAGTAACTTCCTTATTGTCAGACTTTACAATCTTACGTCTTACAGGTATCCGGAATGCCTTGGAATTACTTCACTTAGTTTACGAACTTAAAGGTTTAGGGACTTAGAAAATTTAGAGAATTTATATATTCTAAGTGACGAACTCAGTTGCAAGTTAGTGTAGTAGTTCACGATCAAATCCTAGA